GAGAGACAAAAGCCACATGATCTAGCAGTGAGAGGAAAAATTTCAGTTGAACACCCCCCCACCCAAACAGTTATCTTTTCATTCAGTAAACACTGTTGAGTGACAGGCATTACATTTACCATTGTGAACACAAAATAACATGCTGGACAAAGTAAAAAGTCACATGACGGGCAGGAGATATACAATGTAATAGTTACATTCACAATGGAACCAGGAAAAAAACTTTTTTTAAGGGACCAACTCATTCTGTGGAGAGAAATCACCATAGAGGAGGGCAGGCCTGAGATGGGCCTTGAAGGAGCAATGAGAAGGCTGAGAGGTGCTGGTCCAGATCAGGGAGACAGGACGTGGACCAGGGCTGTGAGTGTGGAGGTGGAATTATGGGATAGGTTGAAGGGGTAATGAAGAGATGCAGATCTTAGTAGCTCATGGGATGTGGAGCGGAACGGAAAAGATGACCACTGGGTGGAAGGTGGTGTCATCAGGGGATAGGTCAGCCAGCTTGGAGAGAAAGCATGACTTTGTTGTCTCTATGCTGTGAGACCCCAAAGTAGACACTCAAGTAGAATGACTGGGAGGTGACCAGATGTGCAGATAGATATGGGCCCACACAGAGTCTCGGGTGGACCTAGAAACTTGGGAGTCATTAGCAAATAAGTGGCAATTTATTCCATAGGGATGATTAAGACTTCTCAGGAAGAGCATTTGAAATGAGACAGAGGAAAGTTACGGACAGAACCCTGGGGAACACCACAATGTTAGTGGTGGGTGGAGGACAACAAGCAAATCAGGGAGAGGAGGGATGGTCGGAGGGCAGGACAACCAGGAGTCAGACTGAGGCCACGGAAGCCAAGGGAGGGGTGAGCGGCAAGGGCGAAGATATAGTGAAGTGCTGTCTTTCTAAATTCATCTCTGTGATACGGACATCGTCTTCCTAGGTGTGGAATCACAAGCAAGTTTCCTATCTTTAACTTGTCCCAGTTTTTTTTGTCATTAAATGATACAACAGAGAGTGAAAATACCAAAGAGGTCTGTATTTGAATTCAGACCTGCATGGACTGGCCGAAAAGGCCCACCAGGAGCCTGGTGCAGGAAGGATCATCACAAAGATAGCACTTAGGCATAAAAGGGGTCCATGGCGGAATGTGAAATGTGGATATTCTGATCCTATGCTCTCAGGAATCTGTCATAGCTTGGGGAGTGACAGCTGTAATAAAAATAAGATGAAGCTATTTCCCATTTGCCAGATCTTAGCAATGGGGAGGGGGCTTTCTACCCAGGGCGGCACAGGCTAGTGCGGTCCCTCATTGAGTGCACAGCACCACATTCATTTCACGGACAAGGGACGGGGTGCCCTGTCACCTTCAGTGGTGAGCCAGGACTTGATGTCAGAACAAGCACCAAAAAGAAAAAGACAAGCATATTTAATTACATAAAAACTTTAAAACTTCTCTCTACTCTCTACTATAAACAAAACCAAAGACAACTGACCAGTAGGTTTTTAAAAACTGCAACTTATGACAGATGAGTTAACCTACTATATATTAGAAACAGTTCATGTGAAAAGACCAACACTCCAATGAAGTCACAAAAGTAGAAATATCAGTAAAAGTATAAAAGATGTTCAATTTACACAGTCATCAAAGAAACGGAAATTGAGAATGAAGGGAAAAAGGCACCTGCTAATAGGTGGTAGCTTAATTTTCTGGGAGCACATTGGTAATACTAAAAATTCTAAAATGTTTAAAATTTTAAATTATCTTTTAATTGTAAATGTCTGCTGCCAGGAATTCATCTAAGGGCAACCATTGGGCACATGTGCAGAGAAAAAGGTGCAAAGGTACAAGATGCAGTCCTGGTTATAATGTACAATCAAACCATTAATGGAACTACATTTTAGCAAATCACACAACAGATAACCAGGCAACCCACAGAGAAGACGTGATACGTATTTATGGACGTGGGAAGGGAACAACAGCTAACACTTATGAACACTTAATGCCAAGGCACCTCACAGCCGCCTTACAAAGAATGTACGATTATTGCGTCCATGCTTCACACACGAGAAAACGGAGGCTCAGAGAGGGCAAGCAACACGTTCAGGGTCATCAGCCAGTGAGTGGCAGAACAGGACTGGGAGCTAGGTCTGTCTGAAGTTGAAGTCCATGCTCTTAATCCCACCCCCTATTGCCCCTCTGCTTCAAATTAAGAGAAAACAAGGTTATAAAACAGAAGTGCGTCATGGTCTCAGGCTCACAAACACCCGCGTGCTCGATGCAATGCCTATGAATGATGGCCCGGTCAGATGCAGCCATAAAACTAGTCCTCGTAACCGTAACGGAATGAATCAGGCAACACCCAGTTTAATGTTCTTGTCAGTTATTTATTGTTTGTCATTCTAAAGACTAGCACATTTACAGCATACATGGCTTTGAATGAGCTAAGAATATATAAAACAGTAACTGTATGTTTATATATATTAATACAGCCCACCCAAAACAAATAAATAAAAGTACTTTAATTCACTAAGCTTGGCAAATACAACTGCGGAGGGACAAAACTGTATTATACAAGATTTGTACATTTTTCAAGGAAACCAAAGGCAACTGTGCTGCAGGTGCTTAGAATCCACGTCACATCCCACGTTTTCAGTAGGTCTCAACGTTTCTTTTTAAATGAGGGGCCTTCCCAGGAACACTGGACGGAATCTGTTTTACGGTAACCTGTAAAACGGCTTTCCCTGTGCAGCTGAAGACTCAGAGCTCCCGGCTCCCCGGAGGAGCCCCGGCCCGCCATGACGGGGGGCGTGCCCTGGCGCCGCGAGCCTGGCGGGGGCGGGAGTGACGCCGCCGCAAGGCTGCCCCACGCTCTCCCGCGGCAGCCGGGAGTAGTGCTCGCATGGAATACTGAAACCTCAACAGTTTCTGCACCATTAGCCAAGTCTTAGAGTTTTAACGGTGATCCTTAACAGGAAGCCAAAGTTGCAGAAATAATTCACATAAAGGTGCCACATGCAAAACTGCTAACAGATGACTCAACGTTTGCTATATTCCCTTTTGATAAATGCGGGTACTTAATGCTCTTCAGACAAAAAAAGAAAGAAAATTCTGGAAACAATATGGGTAACATTTAATTTAAAAAGATAAGGGAATTCTTTAAAGGTAGTGATGTTAAAACGAGAAAAGATGGAACTAGGTAGACACTAGAGAAATTACAACTTAAATGAAACGGGGGAGGGGTGAGAAAATCAGCCATCCTGGAAACTGTCTTTGAACAGGGACCGATACAGCAGGAGAATGTGACGCCAGCTGCCGCCGCCTCTCCAGCAGGGTTGGGGGACAGGAGTGTCTCTGCCTGCACCCTCCACAGAGAGCCAGCTGTGGGACAGGCATGAGCGGCCGCCATCGCTCCCTGGTGCGTCCTCCGCATCCGCTCACACCTGACCAACGGGCACCCAGGAGAAGCAGGCTCTGGCTGCGCAGGAAGGGTCTGGAAGGTCTTCCGTCCAGTTCCACCCTCACCTGCGCGCCTACCCCTCGGGGTCCCTGCCAGTGGGTGGCCTTGCCTGTGCCTCAGCAGCCCAAGTATGTTACACATTTCCAAGCGGCATGTCTAAAGGAGCCCACGAATAACACCTCAAATTTTAGACCGAGGAAATTTCCTGCGGGTTCACAAATCATTAGGATCAGCATCATGGATATGTGCCACATAGATTTCTTTTACAGCCTTTTAAATAACATGTAAACATAATAATCATGATAAACAGAACTGATAAACGTATAAACTAAGAAAAATCTCTGCTATGTGCAGATAAGACTTATCATCTTATAATAGATGACTGGACATAATTTTCTATGAAATTCCTAAGTTTTATGGCCTAGTAATCCCTTTCAAACTCTCACTGTAGGAGATAAATTCAACTTTCTCAATAGTCATCTTACATAACAGAATGCGAAGAGGACAGTAACAAGTGCTGCAAACCTAAGAGAAACTTTCATCAGACAATCCAACATGATTGCACCATCTTCTAGAAGACGATAAATTGGGAAACCCACAAAAGCACGTATGTTCTGAAAATAGGCTTCCAGCACCTACACGCATAACCCCCACCCCCCGCCCCAGTTGTCTGAGAGGCAGCAGACACCTCAGGTGTGGGGGTCCTGGAGTGACAGAACTCAACACCCGGGGGGGGGAGGAGGGGAGGCGTGCCCCAGGGGCAGGACCAGCCAGAGCTGCAGAGCACGGGACTGCTGGCTTCACATTCTCCAGCACACACCCTGTTCTACGACGCATCAGGGGCAGAGGGGGACCCCACTGTGTGGGCCGCTGCGCAGGTACCACCTTCCAGTGAAGTCTTATCTCAGGCTGACTTAGCAACCTTTACTTCACCTTCTGGTTTCCCCTGGGCTGTCACAGGTAGGACAGTTCGTCGGAACCACTTGCTGTCACTACACGAGCTACAGCTACCTTCTTCCCCCAGAACTTGAGTTAACATTTAACATCTACTGGTCTGCCCAGGATCCAATAATTCAATATATTATTTACTGTTTTACATTCAGAGTTTTTAAAAGTAGACTGTAATTCAATGCTCAATTTTGAGTTACTCAGTAGAAAAATACATTAGGTGTGCAGCTGCCTAAGTGGGCATTTTAAAAAGTCTTTTAGCATTTCAGACATATCTAGCTTGATTCATACAGGTAACTATCGATATCTGTGTGGTTATGGCTGAGGCTATTTAAATGGGCAGTCGCTATGATCCACACTATTGAGCCAAACATTACCTCCTACTGATTCCAGTGGAAAACATGCTCCATATAGACTTTTTAGTGAATTTTTTTTTTAAAAAACACAAAAATAAAAACCAATCCTTCAGGTCTTCTTGAAGAATTCAAATATGACACTACAGGGTACCCACATTTAGTATGTAACAGCTAATTAGAGGAACCATGTGTTCATGTTTCAACTTTTCCGTAAGTCCCTTCGGGAGGCCTGTAATGCTTGGGGAAAGCCTTCAGCTGCAGGGAATTAAATGCATATTTGCGACTTCCAACATTCTTCATTGTATTTTCTCTTCGACAACCCTCACTGGGGAAAAAAACAAGCACAAGAAATGACAGCAGTAAAAAAGGAAAAAAGAAAAGACTTAAACTAAGATGAAATGAATTGATTATTTTCATAGCATTAAAAAAAAATGTTAATTCAAATGGGTGCCGGACTCATTTACAATATGCACGCAAGATGGCGGGCTTCTGAACGAGGAAGGCAACTAAGAAGCACAGACATGGACACATGCTGGATGGGACTGCGAGTCTGGCATTTCCAGAGGCAGCGCTGTATCTAAGTAGAAGCAAACTTTTGTTTTTCAGTGAATGGTTTTCACGTGTGTCGTGTCAAGTAATTTGAGGACTCGATCATAACTAGCGGTTCAAACGTTCTGTTACCTCGCAAATTAAATGGAACGAGAAATGGTGCTACTCTTACCAAAGCTTTCCAAGAGCTGCATTTTTCTGTGTTAGGACTGGCTATTAATCACTTCAAACTCAAAATGCTCATGTTCCTTGCAGAACTCGGTATGTAGCAAAGCCATCTGGCTGAGAAGGCTGCTCTAACATGCCATCCCCACGAGGAGACAGCTGTCCTGGGTGCAAATAAGCTATCAGGGAGCCCATGCAATGGCACGCTGGGTCTGCAACAGCTCTCAGGGCTAGGAGTGTCATGAAGGAGTGATCCCACTGAGATCTCCCCATGGCCGCCTTCTCCATGTGGGCTGTCCTCATTGTGGTCACCTCTCACTGTAGGAGATACAGATACGCATACCACGAAGCCAGGGAGAGCCCACAAGTGCCCTTCCCTAGAGAACCCGCTCCCAGCGTCACCCCCAACTGTATTAGATGGAGGGTTGTCATGGCAACCCAGGGGGGCACAGCAAATGCTGAACAGGAGGATGAGCCATCAGGCAGGCTTCACATTCCCAAGTGAGAGCATCAGGGGAGTTCTCTGGGAAATGTTCTGCTGTAGACATCAAATTAACAGGCAAAAGCGGTTCTAAATATAAATGACTTCCTATAAGCACAGTAGAAGTTTACATTTTTATATTATTCTTAGACTAGCAATTAAATCGACTAGTTATCAAATTTAGTACAAAAATCCCCATTATGAGATGTAAAATCTGGAGTTACCAAGAAATAGTGATTTAAAAAAAATATTTCAAATCGTATGAAGACCATTATGTCATGCATCTTAAAAAAATATCAGTGGCAATTGCTTAAGCCTTTTAAAGTGAAAATGACAGTCTCGTTATCAAGAACATGTAAAATATTTTTGGTAAGAGTAATTTTATTCAAAAGATAAGCTCAGGTATTTTAGAAAAGTATCCACCTGCTTGTTATTAAGTACTTTAGTAACTCAGCTATGCTTTCTTGTCACCAGAGCCTCAAACCCTCAGCGAGACGTGTGTCATCTGAACTGAATGCGCCTAGGCCATACGAGCAGGGAGCCCCTAGAGTAAAGAACGATCATGTTTGTCTAACATCCAGTAATCAGATAAAAATATAATTCCATTTAAAGCAGAAGCTATAGGTTCCTATGCACAGTTAGTCTTATTTAATCTTTGGAAGCTCTCACGTTATCAAACTATTTCAGATATGGCTTCTCTATTTATATAGAAATGGACACACTTTTCAAGGACCACCTATCAGTAGTAAATGCCAAACTGCTTTGAGGAGCAAAGAAGAAGAATTTGTCAACTTCGGCATTATCTTTTATTTACAGATATTAAAGAAACTACTTACTGGTTTAACTGGCTGAATATGCGATACACGGAATTGTAATCATGATTACCCTTTCAATGCAATTTTAATTTTTAAAGCAAATCGTATCTACTTTCCCTCAAATGTTGTGAATTTACAAAACCTGACTGCTGAGGCTGATGGCACACCGACCCTGTCGTGACTTGCTTGCACAAGCTCGGTGTCAGTGCGTGAGACTGAAGTCTGCGGAGGGGAGAGGGTGTCCGTGCTAACTGGACTTTCCTGCCGCAGGGGCCAGGCTTCCGTCCCTAAGGTAGAACACTTTCATCCAGCTCATCGGCTGCAGAGTTCTTAGGTGCCAATAGCACACATTGAAAAAGGTCTTGGATAGATGTCAGAAAGAGGGATTTAACTATTTCAAAGCTCCACCATTATTTTTTATTCTGTAGATAAATGCTTTCTTTTCAAGGACATCCATTTTTTGAATGAGAATTTAGAATGGAAACCCAGATGACAACTAATTTGGGGGACTCCTCTGGTTCTCCCTTTCTGCTGTGGATCTTCCCCTTCGGAACTCGTCTGGACGCACTGGGGTCTAGTGATACTGAGTATCTCGTGTTGGTGGCCACTGACAATGTCCCTCCCGGTGCTAGCGCCGCCTCAGAAGCAGCCTGAAAACCATCACCCAATACCAGACTCCCCTCTTGTGAATCATCTTCCCATGTTTGTTTCATCCAGTCTATTTCTCACTAAAGCAGAAAAGATTTTCAGATATATATTTAGTCTGATTTCCTAAGCAGAAAGCCTTAGTGTTGGTAAAACTCAGCACAAAGGGCGAGCACAATGAGTCTCTTTCCTCAGATGTTCTGAAGAAAGACGGCGACAACAATTCAGAGCCTAGGCCGATCTCCTGGCCTTCTTTCTTGCGCTAGCCCTCATGACCAGAGACAGCTAGAATGTACGGCCTTTTGGCTCAGCCCCTGAAGAGAAAAACAAAGAACCTTATCTTCTCTCCTTTCCAACCTCCACAGGGCAGGAAGGCCTGGCTGGCATCCTGGCAGTGAGGAGCAGGCTCAGAGGGGCCTCTCTAGCTGGCCACGGCCTCCCTTTGCTGGGGGGGGCGGTGCATCCTGGGAGGAGTCTCTGGGGAGTGGCACAGGAACACCCACAGGCCCGGGGAGCGGAGGGGGCGCTATCGGTAGTCAGAAGGGCCTCCCTCATGGGTGCATAGTCTCGGCCAGGCCTGGAGGTGGGCACAGGCACGTGTCACCCCCATGGGGCATCAGGAGCACTTGAACCAGGGCAGGGACTGGGAAGCTGTGGAATGGGAGCTGGAAGGGCCTGTGGACTCTACTTTCTCTCTTTCAAATCTTGGAGCGCTGATGCATGCACCTCAATCTGAAGGAGGCAGGAGGTGAACATACCTCTCAAAGAATCACGGATCAGACAGTGACTAGTGTTGTGTTGCTACAACTTAACACCACCTGTCACTTGGCACCCGGTGAGACTCCCTACTGAAGAGTGTCAGGAGCTATGCCCCAGTACGGCCACCTCAGTTGTTCCAGAAAAGACAGAGTGGCCATATGGCACTCGTGAGAAGACTGGCTTCCCGAACTACAGGTAGGAACCCTGCCCTAAGGCTCCTGCAGTGCTCAGAGGGTCTAGGAAAGAAGGGCCTCCCAGGGGTGTGAGAAGGACAGTCTTAGGATTTAAAGCCTGAGTCTGGCATTTGTTATTCGTTGCTAACCGCTTCTACCATTCCTAGAACGTGGACTCAGAACTGATGCCAAACCAGAGAAGTCCCAGAGTAAGTTCTGGACATCTTGGGGGAGGGAAGCGAGAGGGCAGATTTTGTGGTGGACTGGGTCTGTGTGTATGCATGGGAGTAAAGTTTCTGGAAAAGACAGCTTCTCTAAATTCACTCTGATTTTTCTAGACTGGTAAAAAGAAATCCACTTTCATAAAATCCAGTGTATGGGGAACCAGCTGGCGGTCAAAAACAGAAGTACAGCATGGTTTGGGCTGGAAAACAGAGAAGCCACTGAGAATTTCTTATACAGAATCCATGGAAATTTCCCCCTAATTTATTCTGTTACCTTTACAGACATTCAATTACTCTTCTGCCAAATGTGAAAGTTAAGGTTATGAACAACCTTGTTTTCTGGGCATTTCCATGTTACATGAAGAGTGCTAAGAGCGCAGACCCAAGCAACGCCTTCTCTCTCACAGTTCCATCTGCCACAAGTGCCCAAAGGTTAGGCCTCTGTTTGGGGATTTTTTTTTTTTTTTTGATTTTCAAAATTATCATTATTAACCACATTTGATTTTTTAAAATGAAAAATACTGCTTCGTGAAAAACAAATTCCCAAATGAGCCTTTTGTTCCTATATGCACTAATTCCTGTAACCAGTTTAGTGATCCTTAAAGATTTCAAAGAGTAAATCATAAGTCACATGCAGTATGTTATTTTAATGTGCCTGACTTGGTACAATGTGCAACTGCGGTCACAGCTTTGTGTCGTCTCAAACTGGAAATCATAAACACAAGCGAGGAATGTTATGATTCTGCAAAGTGTTTGCTACTGTGAGTTCAGGGACTACGCTTTGAAATGAAAGCAAAAAGTACATGTCCTATTAAATAGGTTGATCTAGATGAGCCGGTTATAAAGCATCTATCTATCCTTTTCGTTTCTCTTCAAAAGGAAAGGAAAGGTTAGCAGTACATGAAAGAACAGTATCAAATATACAAATTCTCTTCAGACAGAATCCCCTTCTCTCGGAAACAGGGCACAGGAGATATACAGGTAATAAATAGTTTTACATCAGAAGGTGAGAGATTTGGTACAACTCCAGGCCAGCTAAACAATGCAGTAACAGGGCACTGTAAGAACGTGTTACAAGCACTGAAAACTCGATGGAATTTAAACGCACGAGTCCTCTCGGTGAAATAATTTGGCAGGTATTTACAGTTCAGAACAACAGAACGTCAAACTGTAAGGCATGAAATATTTCTTGGCAGACCACGCTCTGACACATTCCTTCTGTCCAGTTAGGTACACAGGTGGCTGGACATATTCTGGCACTTTTGTTTTTCTTGTGACTTAGTACTGATTTTCGCAATGGTACTCATTTGCAACGCAATTTGGTCACCAGGTATGCTATGCTCAGGAAGAGCCACACAATCAGTAAATTGGGGCTCAGGGCTAACAAAGGGATGGAACAGAGGAGGCTGGGATCTAGTCTTAAGTCTCGGATGGGCACCAGGCCGCTCAAGTTCTTCTGGGTGACTACCTCCCGTGTTCCAATGCTGTGAAAAGGAAAAAGTTTGGGAGAAAGGAAAAGAAAAAGGCAAAGGAAATAAAGGAAAAAAAAAAAAAAAAGAGAGAGAGACACATGCAATGGATGTAACAAAAGTATGGAAAAAAGAGGAGAACCAAACGGTAAGATTTAAAACAAACCAAAAAATGGGATGGAGCCACAACAGAAAGAAAAGATGATGTGCAGAAAAGGGTGTGGAAGGGATACCAAATCAAAACCAGCACAGTCACAAGAAGAAAGGAGAGAAAGAGAAGTGAAAATAAGAAAAAAATACTGTCGTCTACCGAAAACAAACACATGTAGGTTGACTAAATGGTTTTCCATGTTCGCGCTCTCTCGGCTGGCCAAGCACAACTCCATGCTGCCCCGCCATGCTCCCACATGCTGCCAAGACATGGGTTTCAAGAAGCAAGCTGAACATGAAGAACCATTGGGGGGGGGGGGGTTTGACCTTCTCACAGATGCCTGAGCGGGGGGCAGGGCGACCAACTTTGCCAAAGCTGCCTCTTGATGAACCATTCAAACAACGACCGTTGACCTCACGTCTCAGTCAGAGGCAGAGCCCTCCCCAGACTCACCCTGGCTGTCAGGCTGAGCAGTGGCACAGCGTGAGCTGCTCGTGGCCCCGAACGTTCAAGTTACTGTTCTGCAGGGTGATCCCCAACCACGGAATCCAACCAAGCTCACACAGGATATTTGGGGGTTTTCCCCTTTGGTGACCCAGAAAAAAAACATACCGAAGTGCCATGGCTCTGGAACCACATCCTCCACGGACGTCCACCAAAGTGGCAACAGTGACACAGAAGCAGAGATGCTGGGACACGACACGCGGCCTCTGAGGATCCACCCAGAGGTGAGTAGCATGGGGTCCTTGCTCAAGCAGAGTTCTCCTGGGCTTTCCCGGAGGAACTTGGAAGCCCTGGAGTGGCCCTGCCGGGATGTGCCGTTTAGACTGGGGACACATTCCCAGCCAGGGCAGTCTCTGGGGGCGGGGTGGGGGGGGTTGTCACTGTGGCTACTTAGGAAGGCCCACTCTATGTTTCAGCCCCCGGATCAGGGACAGAGAGGCACCATGGGCAGTGAGCTGGCACTGGCCCCAAAGGCTTGCAGGAGCTGAGCGTACACCACTCTTCGCAACTCCGTGTTCCGTGATGTCACACCGGTAGCTGGAAATAAGCCCCAGTGGGAGTATTTATGCTACAGAAACTGGCCAACACTATAGATCAGGGCTTTTTTTGGTGGTGGTGGAGGCGGGGAGCTGGTTGTTAAACATTTGCTAGCACATCACTGGCCACTGCTCATCCTGGGCCTCCGGGAGAAACACAGCCCGAGTGTCAGCTTTGCCCCCTTACCCCACCCCCTCTCTCCGCCCTGCACCCTTGCCTGCATGCTCTACTCTTCCATCTGGTAAGATGCAAGCGAGAAAGCAAAAGAACCAAAATGCATTCCTCCACTCAAGGCATGGCGCAGTATTTTCTGCTGCCTCCTTAGGGCTCCCGGCTGAGCCACAGGTCCTGGCCACGCTACAGCCAGAAATCCTGGCTAGTGACCCAGCCACCTCAGGCTTGCTGTCTATGGACAGAGGCATGTGTTCCCCACAGGGGAGAATCCAGAAAATCACCTTAAAACAACCACACTCGGTAATGGCCTGGGCTGCGACGCGGCCAGGCAGACAGGCGGTGGAGAGCACAGAGCCCCGGCTGCTGGAGCTACTGGGTCCCCGGGGGCGGGTGCAGGGGGGCCATGATCCAGCTTGGTTCTTGTGTAATAATATCTGACATGATTAGTAAGTAAGATTATGTGTTTACTGCAAAGATTTTAGAAAATTCAGAAAAACCTAAATAGGACACTTTAAAAAGACTTCCATAATTGGAGGTGGAGGGGGGAGGTTTAGAGAGGCAGAGGGAGGCCCAGGGAGGAAGGTCCTTCCCTACTCAGGACCTCGGAGTCCTCACCTGTGTCACAGGAAAGCAACACCGACTTTACAGACTCGGAAGCGCTCCGACGAGTGACAGGCGTGACAGCACCCGGAGGGTGGACAGAGCAGGCGCTCGGGACAGGGGGTGGGAGTGTGACGATTTGTATTAGAAACCTTAGGGAGGTGTCTATTTTTAACCTAAGGGATCAGTGCGGCAGATGTGGCCAGGAGCATACATAAGGGGATTCACTGCCCCCTGGTTTGAGGTGCTGAAAACCACCTTCGGCTTAGATATTCAATGGCAGCAAACTGGATCATTATGGTGTGCTCAAAATTGTAACCCGAAAAAATGCTCACAAGACCGTTAAATGAAAAAAGTAGGCTAGGGACGCCTGGGTGGCTCAGTTGGTTAAGTGTCTGCCTTCGGCTCAGGTCATGATCCCAGGGTCCTGGGATCGAGTCCCGCATCAGGCTCCCCACTCCGCGGGGAGCCTGCTTCTCCCTCTGCCTCTGTCTCTCTGTCTCTCATGAATAAATAAATAAAATCTTTAAAAAAAAAAAAAGAAAAAAGTAGGCTAAAGCACCAGGCGTAACTGCACACAGAGCTGCATTTGCTTGCGTACGTGTGTGTTTTGTGCATTAACCAGAGACTGGCGACCCAGTGTGTGTATTAACCACACTCACGCCTGAGTGCTTGTATGTACGTGTCTACATCTGCAAGAGTAGGCATCAAACATGAGCATGGCTGCTTGTCAACAGTAGAAATACGGAGGATTCGGAGGTGGGGGTGTGAGAACAGCTGGTGAAGGGGCTTATCCGTATTTTTAAATTTTGCTACAAGGAATATCACTTTCTTAGGTGATCAAGTGGTGTGTGCTGAAAGCCATAGCAGTTGATCTGTGCACGTGTGGGTACTGCCCACAGCCCCAAGGCGGGCCACAGGCCAGCAGATGCGGCCACCCCTGCGTCTTTCTAAGGAGCCCCATTCTCCCCGGTCTCCCGAGACCTCTGTGCTCAGATGCAGTCAGAATGAATTGTTGTTCTCATCAAATTTGTTCCAGAAGCCAGGACTGGATAGCTGTCTACACATCAACTGTACACCTGACTCAGGGCCTGGTCTACTGAATGGACCTGATCCTAACCTTTGCTCCGACAACCACAGGAATCCCCGCTGCCCCCCCTTCCATTTCTCGTGTTTCTTCTCTAGCGGAGGCCTGCATCTCACCAAGGTGGTCCCTCCCAGCACCTCGCAGCTCACAGGGTGCAGAGGTGTGTGGCCGGAAGCCCAGGCCCTGCCACCCTCATGGCATCAGGAACACCGAGGCTGAAGGACAGACCGTGAGGACAGGCTTGACTAAGGGTGCCTGGGCAGGGGTCTCGAGAGTCTCCATGGCTTCCCTGAGGCTCAGCCCAGGGAGGGTGGTGAACTTTCCGTACGTGCATAAATAGAAGCCCCGAGGTCACGGAGGGGGGTTTGGATGAATGTGGAAAAGACAAAACAGGGACAACACACTTCCATTCCTACAAAATGCTATTATCAAGAGGCAGGAGCTCAGGCATCACTTTTGTGGGTTATTATGAGAAGGTCAAACAGCAGAAACATACAGAAAGGATAAGAGAATTGAACGCTTTAAAGAATTTGGTGAGAGGACAAACGATACAGAACATTCAGTAGGAGTGACCGTTGGAAACGAGACTTTGACAGCATTGGTGGCTACATTGAAGGAGACGGGAAAACCAGGTTTCTTATCCTTTCTTTTGGTATGTGAGGTAAGGTGCTCCCCAGCAGTGCTTGAAACAAGGCATCGATCAACAGTAGACAGTTTTTAGTCCCGGGTTTCATTCTGCAAACACGCCTGCTGCCTCAGAACCAGAACATCATTAGGGTGAGGTCGCCACGGCACACAGACAGGTGGGGGGCTGCTGCCGTTACCATAAGACACTCATTTGACACTTTGCTAAGAAAAGCAAACTGTGTCGACGGCTAGAGAAGAAGCAGAGCAAACCAGTGCAACCTGCAGACGCGTTTTCTTCACTCAAGTTTGAAAGGAGCTAATACGCATGGTGGAAACAGCAGGTGCCTGCTGAGGAAGCTCTGGCCCTCGTTCCCACCCGCAGCGAGGCGGGGGCTGAGGGCCAGCCACGTGCCTGACTCGCACGCGGCCGCACTGGACTTCCCTGGGCAACGTCCTGACTCCTCAGCTTGCCCCGAGGGCACCCGATTTCAGAGCAGTCCCGCTCACAGAGACTGCTAGCTCTCTTGTCCCTCTGACTTAAAAAGGAACACGGTCTCAATTTGAGACCACCGACAGTTTGACTTGGCAGACGTCAGTGAATTTTCCAAAGTCAAACCAGAGCATATGCCGGCGGGGGTCAAGGGGACCTGGGCCGGGGGCGCCCCGGCGGGACCGGCTCATCTGCAGTTTACACGGAGCCCGGGGTAGGCGGGGCGGGCGGCCTGGACAGCGGGACTCACCTGCGCATGCACTCCAGCGCCTGGGTGAACACCTGCGGGGCCATGCCGTGCTCGTGCTGCAGGATCAGGCACTGCTCCAGCGTCACCGACATGGCCGTGCGGTCCTTGGCGCTCTTGCAGCTGGTGAACCGGACCCCGTTAAGGCGGCGGCAGATCTGCAACAGGAACACAGGCTGTGCTGACAGGGAGACGCCACAGGACCCCGGTTCCGGATGGTCAGTGGTGGCATGTGGCAATGCCGACTCCCAGGGCCACTTCCGCTCCCCGACTCCACGTCTGGCCAGAGCCAGCAGCAGAAACGACGTCACTGCCCGTGGGACTGCTTTTGTCCCCATGTGACTTTGTCCCCGTCCCTCGTGTTCCCCCCTCTGCCCGGGCCGTTCCTTCCAGGCCTAGGCGCCCCCTTCTTGTCTGGGGCATCACCGTCCGTGCACTGACCGTACCAGCTGCCCCCTTCCAAACTGTGCCCAGGCCATCTCCTCACGTTCAGACCGTGCTGCGGGCCCTGGGCAGAGGAGAGCAGCAAAGTTCGGCTCAGGAGGTCAGAGCGGCTCCCGGGATGTCCCGCCCCTGGCCAAGTCTCCAGGTCTTTCTGGAAGGCATAGCACAGACCCACTGTCTCTACTCTGTTCCTCACCTGCACAGATGGGAATGGCTCAGAGGAGCTTCCCCCTTTGCCACCTCCTGAGCACCAGGCCCCGCGGGCCCTCCACCGTCCTCCACCTCCCTCAGGGCTGGGCAGGGCTCAGGGGTCAGTGCACTCTGCCCTTCACAAGTGGGGAGCTCACAGTGGGGCAGCCTCCGGGCTGAGAAAAGGCCACCCCAGGGCACCTTCTCTCCCCACAGGAAGGACATTTGGGGGCATTTTCTTTGTACCACTAGATACAATTCTAGGTACACAGTCCCCCAGAGCAGAAAGCCCTAAAACAAAGGATTTTTTCTTTTAAGTTTACGGCAACTTCATTTGGCAGTCTGACCAGATCTGAGCTGATATGAGACTATAATCTTCATTTATCCCATTTTGTATAAACATTCATACCTTTTAATAAGGCTATATTAGTGAGTTTGGTTCCAGAGCGCTGCCCCAGACTCCCCTGGGTATGTTCAATCATATGTCTGTACCACATCAAACACAGGTGATGTGCACTGTATTACACATATGTGCACCAACTGTATACCAAATCCCCCTCCTAAAATATAGAAACCTGTGAATCCCAAAACACCTACCCACAGGAGCTTCAGATAAGGGCCTGTACCCGGTAGACCACAGGCATTAACAGAGGCACAAGGGGGGGGACATTCAAAGACAGGGCTCCATGAAGACAGGCTCTCAAACACAGGGTCTCCCAACAGCAGACAAGCAGCATGACCAGCTGACCGTCTGCTGCAGGGAAGAGACCTGGGGTGGAGAGGAACACTTTCCTGAGGAGGAGAACAGAAAAGCTCTAGAATAAGTAGCTCGGGAAAGCCATGAGGGGGAAAGGGGAGACAGCCCTCCTAATGGCTACTTGGGCTCTGTGAACCGGGGGTAACCAGCTGTGAGTGTGTACTCCTTCCCCAGGGGCAGGGGCCGGACGTCCATCCCTCCCCGGTGCTCAGGCCGGGCCGGGAGCTGGAATGCCATCTGGGGATCACTCGTGCTCCTGAGTCTACCTGTGCTAGTCCCCATGCTGGACAAGTCACGGTGCTGCCGCGGAGGGCTCCCACAGCCGCCTGTGGTCACCCTCGACAGGGGTGAGTGAAGGGCTAGCTACGCAACTCCACAAGAACATTTATGAGAAAATACTGGAAGTACTTGGGAAAAGAGGAGATCTGAACTGCAATGTACAAAAGCTACTATGTAAAGAGACTGCAAAGATCACCACGGTCTACCTCTGAAGCTATTAAAAGATGCAGTAGGCAGTGCGTTGTAGCTGGTATCGATTGCCCAGGCTTCTGGAGGTGACAACTGTCATCAGCCTGCTTATGAAATGCCCCAGGGGATAGAGTCTGTGTCAAGCTTACTGGAATTCAGGCAGCCCTGAAGTAATGAACTCATAGGCACCTTTCAGTATCCTCCAGAGTTCTGGATGTATCCAGTGACTTTCTTTTTGTGTCCATATGGAGAAACTTGCTCTCTCCACTCCTGGCTGAGATTCTGATTTACTATCATAATTATTACTATTGGCAGCCAGTGCAACACTATCATTCTTTTCCTCAGTATAACGAAGGTACTACCTCAGCGGCTTGCCAGAGAATGTCGACGTTCTTATTCTTCCTGGCGTGTACATTCTGGCCCAGAAAACGCAGCAGCTCCGGCAGGCACGTCTGGCTCCGAGATCGAGGTAGGCCTGCAAGACAGGGGGAGTCCGTGAGAGCTGGTGGGGCACCCAGGCCCATGGCCCATGGAGCCTGGCCAAGCTGGAAGCTTAGGGTGACTTATGCAAGAAAGGGGGGGTGTGCTTAGGGACTGGCCCTGGCTTCCAACACGGGGAGCACTTAAATCACTTTCACGGCCACTTCAGTCCCACCTGCCAAGGGCAAACGCTCATCTTCTTTCAGCTCTTCCGAGGGGCTGGAGCACAGTCATGGGGTCACCGAGGGCAGGAGGGAGTTAGGAAGATCCATCTGGTCTTCAGAGCCTCCGCAGGGAGGAGGATGCTTAGGGCGATGAGTACTGACCACTGAGTAGGCTTGGCCACCCCTGGGGGATGTGGGCAGTAGGGCCTCCTCCCGTGGACCTGGAGTGACCCACTATCTCTGACAGCCTCCCTCTGCCACTGTGACCGTCTCCAGCCCTTCCAGGACCTCTTGAGCTGGAAGATCAGTCTGATCACCTCACCTAAGAAACCTGGGATTTTCAAACCCCAGGATCATCAGAGAAAAAGAGAAGCGCCTCAAGGTCATGTCTAAGAAAAATAGCTATGGTGCCTGAATCCCCAGACTAAAACCAAACACATGGAATTCTGGGATCCAGCTGCACAGTTTCCACCACACAAGCTCACCTTCATGTACCCAGGCTCTTACGCTAATTATCACATGCACCTGGTATGTGCCCGGCACCATGCTGATCAGGGGACTGGGGCAGAAACAGACGTGGAAAGGGGGCTCCCGCTCATTGAGGGGCTCAGTCTGTGATGGAGGCTGTGGGAGCCCAGAGGAGGCAAGCTTGTCTCCTGGTGGAGACACAGCACGTTACTTCCCCAGATTGGCTGCAGCTTCTCCCTTGCTTCCCCTGCAGCCCCAGTCAGTGCACACCTGCCCACTGATGAACCGAGCAAACTTAGGGGGTATTCACTGGCTGCACTCCATTTCCTCGGCCTCACAGAGCTCCGATTCTCCTAGGGCTGAAGGCGCAATGGGCTGCTGCTCCCCCAGCTTCCCCGGTTGTGGTCCAGTGCTACTGGTCCACCCTGGAGAGGCCCATGCCTGGCCTGCTTTTGTCCCGTAGGCCGCACCCTTCTGCAGCCTTCATCACCAGGATACATCTCCTGGAGTCTCACATCACTGGAAACAGGCTGCCTTCCAAGACACTGAGCACAGAACTCCCACTTCCTGACCACATGGCTCACTGTGCCCACTCATCTGTCCTCCACATGGCCTCCATCCCTCCTCCCTGCTCCCCTTTGTGATGCCTGGGCCAGGGGCCCAACCCTGCAGAAGACCCTGTCCCTCCAGTCCAAGCTTGGGTGCTCCACTGTCTCCGACCCCTGCAGCACTTGGAAGGTGGGCGCTGGTGGCAGCCAGCCTGGGCTCCCTCCTTGGGAGACTCGCCCTCCTGCCTCGGTGTCCTCAAGTGTCAAGTGTGTGGACAGCCTGGCACGTGCAAGGATTTGATAAATCTGTCACTTTCAACTATGATCACTGCTGAAGCACGTGAGGATACCTCAATACCTGGGGGTTCCCGAGAGCCCGGGTACTGGTGACCTGCAGCTAAAGCGTCAGGGTATCCTCTCACTTATGGCTTTCAATCCTGACCACCTGGGGAGTTTCTGGAACTCCTGAGGCCCACCACTCTGGGGTGGGGCCCAGGCATCAGGACTGTCTGGGCTCCCCAGTGAATTCCAGCGTGTGGTCAGGGCCGGCACTTCTGCAGTTCCCTGGGGAGACCGGGGCCACCTGCCGTGAGCACCCTGTATGTCCTCCTGTCCACAGCAGCCCCCCGATGTGCAGTCCTCAGCTGCTCCTCCATCTTGCTGCCGTGTTTCTCTAGCTCCTTCCCCCATGGCCCATCTCACATCTCTGCCGACCTCTGGGGCAGAGTGGCCCATCGAGGCAGTGCCATTTTGTCACTTACTTGCCCTGGCTGCAGCCCTCGCCGCACTGACTGTGCCTCAGAAGCCCCCAGGGACTCCTTCCCTCACCACCCCCCCAGCACCCAGGTAACACTGCTGCTCTCCTGCCTTCAAGGACTCGCTCCCACCTGTCCGCTGAACCTTTTCTTCTCAAGCCACCTCCACGCGGGGCCTTTCCCCGGAGGCTTGTCCTCAGCCCCTTCCTCTGGCACACAGTGACCTCAGCCGTGAGACAGCCCCATGTCACCCGTGTCGCTGACCAGGGTGACGACAGGCGTGCCCCACCCGGCCTCACCTGTGGCCCGTGTCCCATATCACAAGGCCGTTGGTGCCTGGGCTGCTCTCCTTACCCCCCAGCCCTGCCCCCTCTGTGCATCCGCAGGCCGCCAGCTCGTGTGGCCACGGCCAGCGCAGGCCCTCTGTCTCTCCACCACATGCCCACAGCTCTCTCTTCCCCAGCACCAGCTCACGCCACTGCAAGGGAGCCCGCTCGCACAGCGACTCCCCCTTGTGCCTCTCCTCTCCGCCTACCACACCCCAGGTCAAAGTCGGAGGGAGGAGACTGTGCACAGCGGCCTGCACCCCTCCTCCAAGCCAATGAGCACACTTCTTTTGCTGACTCCAGACAAATCCCTGAAGGTTTTCCCACACCGCTTCCCTGCGAGAACTAAACTGACACCAACTCCCCCGCCTGGCCCAAGGTCCCTTGCAACACAGCATCTCCTACAGGACCCCTTGGCCGCCGGTCTGAGTGCCGAGCCTCAGAGCCAGGCCAAGCCTTCCGTGCAACCAGTACTGAGGCCTGCGTTGTCGCGTTGTCGCGGGCAGTCAGTGCGGGGACGGGCACAGCAGTGACCCGGGAATGCGAATGAAGCCTTCTCCCATCTTCCTCCTCGGGAATCGCCCTTAAAGGACACTGGTGTTACCCAGCGACCGAGTCTGCCTCCTTTGCTCAGGGGTGCCCCCTCACAGCCGGGCAGCGCCAGCAGAGAGGCAGAGCCCGTTCCTAAGCAGGGTCTAGTCTCATTCGTCACTGGGTCCCGTGGTGCTTTACACAGGGCAGGTGTTCAGTAAGTATGAAATCCGGAGAGAATTCCCCATGCACAGACAGGGGAGCCCGGGGCCCCTGCCTGAGTCCAGGGGCACAGAGAAGGCTTTTAGCAGAGTGACGGCTGCCGTCACTCACCCCTGCCTCTGGGGACACCCACACAGGGGCCCCCAGGTCCCCCGCACCCAGCACGAAGTGTCTGCCCAGCATCTCACTCTACGCGCCACAGGGGGAGGCGCACGGGTTGCTCACTCCAGCGCGGCGCCGAGTGGGGGCCCTGCCTCTGTGACCCCACCTGTCCTACCAGCAGGAACACAACATACACCACTGGTATCAGTGAACACCAGTGGCCGGGACAGCTTGTGAGAAAGCCCCGCAGTATCCAGGGGACAGGAAAACCAGCCAGAGAAGAATCAGCAAGGGCCACAGCCTGGGGGAAGCTTCTCCGCAGGGGGGACTCAAGCCGGGCAGAGTCTGAGTAGGTGAACAGGCTGCCGGGGGTGGGGACCGGGGGGGCAAAGGGGGAATCGTGCGTGTGGAGGCAGCATCCGGATGCTGGGTGAGCGGACAGCCTGAGTGGCAGGGAAGGCTCCAACACCCAAAGTGATACAGGGCAGATGACAGGTGAAAAACAAACCTACCGTGAGTGAAGAAATACTTACAGTCCTCAGGCAAAACCTCTTTAAACTGCTCAAAGTAGGAGTTTAACCGCACCAAACTTTCCACGTTGATAACTTCTTGTAAAGATGTATCGCCAAACCTTCGGAGGTCAGACAGGGACACCATGAGTTCTCTCAAGGGTTAGCGCAGCAGCTAACCTCTAAGCCGCTTTCCTCCTACCAAGCATGACGCCATCTCTACCTTGTCAGTGACTTGTTTAAATACATTTCATTAGTGGGAACCATGCACATTTGTTATAGATGTGCCTCAAAGATGACCGGAACTCTATCTGTCCCAGACCCTCGTGCGGCATGCATACAAACCCCTCTCATGGACACTCACTGGGAGGCCCTGTGTCCTCCCATCCTGGAGGTGCTTACAAGAGGGGACAGCACTGAGGCTCTGGCTGGGGAGTGAGGACCCAGTCCTGTACCTGAAGTGCAAGTCACTCTGTCTGCTGGATAACCACACCTGACTAGTTGCTCCTCCTGGGCTGTATGTGAGGCCCTAGTGCACGTCCCTCCATGCAGGCTCAACCTGTGCACACCTCCCAGGTAGCCAGGACATGCCAGAGGTGGTCATGCAAGGTGGTCATTAGGCCTGGATGCCCAGTCCAGCTCCACCACTGCCCTGCTGAGTGACCTCCGTGCACATCAGCCTCTTCATGGTCCCAGGTCATCCTTCAGCGGGCAGGATTCCCTCCTGCGGGTCCATCACAGTCCCATCCACCCTGATGCCCGCAAGGGCTTTTCCTCTAGGCACCTGCTCCCTTGGGGACTGCCCCAGGACACAGTGAGCTGGGCTTGTTTATGAGCTGAGGGGACAGTGTCCCAAAAGCGGATGAATGAGCAAAGACCTGGCACTCGCCAAGTCTTCCCCATCCCCACTGTCTCATCATCCTCCACCTGCTTCTCTGCTCTCTGTGATGTGGCCTTGCCTCAACCCTTTCCAGAAACTGCTCCTGCAGTCATCAGGAATGGCAGCTGCCAGACACAGGGAGCATCACTGTCCTCACTGGGACAACTCCCTGCCGGCCTCCTGATGCTGCCTCCTCTCCATGAAGTGGGCTCCTCCAGTTCTGCTCATACCCTAGAGGTCTCTGCTTCCTGGGCTGGTGGCCCCAGCCTAAGCCAGCCTCCATCTGCCCCTGAGCATGACCTTTTTCCCGGTTCCTGGGCTCAGGGGGTGGTGGCAACACCCACTCACTACCGACCTGGAAGCCTAGGTCTGTTATTCTCTTCACCGTCTCTTTCACACCCTGCCCAGCTGAAGACCAAACCCTCCATTTCACCACTGAAATAGTCCTTCAGTCTGTCCCTTCTCCATCTGTACTACCCCCTGCCTGATCCAGCTCACTGCCTCTGGTCTGGACCCTTTCCAACAACCTCCTCTTTATACCTGTCCCCCTCATATAAATTCCGGCACGTGAGCAGCAAGTGATCCACTTACTATGTAGATGTGATTGTGTCCTGCTCTACTCACACTTCTTCGATGTCTCCCACCAGCCATACCACATTGCTCAGTGGGGGTGACCCTATACTTAGGGATCAATGGATAGTGACCATTGGGTTCCAAAGGCCCAAAAGGAAGATAGGACATCATCCTAGAGACCAAATTCCCTGCATAGCAAGTACTTCTAAATAACTTTTTATTCTAAAATGCATATGCCACATGAATATAATGATAAAACAGGAAAGATTTTCATTTACTAGTGGAAGGTCATTACACATGCCCAAACCCTCCTCTCCAACACACACGTGCGTGCACACACACACAGACATGCTTACACACACACACACACACACTTGCACACATGGGCACATGTGACTCCTCCCTGTTGCCTGGCAGGGGAACCTGGAGGGAGCTTACAAGACATAGGCCTTTGGAAAATCAAGGCAAGGCTCTCGCCTGGCATACAGGCCTCTCTAACCTCGCCTCCAGCCCCCACACGGTTTCTCCCCATCTGCCTTTGCTCACGCTCATTGACCTGAGATGCCAGGTCTTTCCTCCACCTCCTCATCTGACTAAATCCTACTTACTCTTCAAAACTCAATTTAGCCATCATCCCGTCCAGGAAGCCTTCCCAGACCCTCTCCCTGGGTCTCCCATTAGGACCCCTACTCCCTGCATTCATCTTCATTCTTGGCGCCCACATCTCTCTCCTACCAGCCCAAGTCTCTTGAGGATACAGACCACATCTGGCTCATCCTTGTGTCCCCAGCACCAAACACAGGGCTGGGTCTATGGCTGCACTTCAAGAACACTGGCCAAAGGGGAGCGGGGGATGACAAAGTCTCTGCAGCGCTCAGAGCCTGAAGAGGGCTAATGACATTTTCTACATCACCACAGCGACCACTCCACCCACCCCGGGCCCCGTGAGAGCTGGCCCGCACCTCTCGGCCAGTGTCTGCTGCTCGTTGATGCCCACATTGAAGAGGACGGGCTGCACCCGCAGCAGCATGCCGCTCTGGATCTCCCGGGGCAGCGCGTCGAACAGGGGGCCCGGTAGTGGGATCCGCACGTTAAACCCATCACTGCAAAACAGTGAAGAGACGCAGAGGACGGGTGAGGGCTGTGACAAGGGAGAGGCAGGAGAGGAGGCGAGTGAGAAGAGGAAAACCAAGCTGGCCTCGATACGAGAGTGCAGACTGGCCGTCTGGCTCAGTCGTTTCCAAAGTGCTGGTCATGAACTTTAAAGGTCTGTGAAATTAACACAGAAGACTATGATCAATGTCTTTAACTGAAAGAGACACAATAAAAAAATGAAAAGTACGTCACATGTAATGAACATAAATTCAAACACAGGGCTAGCTTTGACGATTAAAAAAACCTTTCTACCGATTTCCAGTGATGACAGGCAGCATGTCAGTCGATGCATTAGACGTGGCCTGAGTGACTTTGAAGGTCACGTTCCTCAGGTCCATGATTCCAAGGCTCATGTCCTCCAGCATGGCCAGCTCCTCACCTGGATGCAAGAGAGGGATGGAAGGCTGTCAGGTAGAGGGGCCCTGCCACTCTTCCCGCGGGCTCAGCACGGCCACAGAGCTGGGCACAGATGGGAGGTGATGGGATCAGGCGTGGCTGTGACCAGAGGGGGCTTCTCCGAGCCTCTTCACCATGTCTCCCCGCGGCCACATTCAGCAACACCGCTGGTGGAGAGTCGCACCATGGTTCCCAGCCCTCTCCTGGGGAAGGACAGCGTGGGGAGGGAAACCACATGCACGGAAGCTCAGAAGGCTGAGCTGGCGCCTTAGAAATGGACAGAGACAGCCACACGGCACACTGTGGCCAGATCCCTCTACTCCGTGGGGCTTGGTATTTATTTGAGGTCCTGTAACTCCAAAGATGGACAAATACTTCTTTAAAAAAAATTATCTATTTTTACCCTCTCAGACAAAACAAACAGAAAACGAAAGTAGGGAGAAGACGGGGCGCCTGGGTGGCTCAGTCGTTAAGCGTCTGCCTTCGGCTCAGGTCATGATCCCAGGGTCCTGGGATCGAGCCCCACATCGGGC